ATCCGGGATTTATTGTCAAAAGGTTTATTTAAGCTTACAACCTGGACAATTCATTTCAGAGCTTCGTTTTGACAGTTTTTGGCTGAGGTGCTGAATAGGGGCGGAGTCCAATCAACAGCACCTGTAGGTGAGGAAAAGAACGCAGACAACAAAACTAATGGCTTACTGCTTTATTCATGAAAAACAATCTGATAGACCCATTAACCTTTAAAATATCTTCATTTTTAGAGTACTGTAGAATAAAATTGACCCATTTTTTTTTGTCAAGATTTACAACTGGAAATAATCACACCAATGCAAATAGCTAATTGAGTCAAACCATTCCCACTGTGTAGAAATACCATGTTACAAGTGAGTTTCCTGCATGGTGAGAATCACAAAAATGTGAGAATCAAAAGATGAATGATGTGTCAAAAGTAAATAATTTAGGCTACCAATGAAGGGATGTATTGGCTCCAATATAAAAGATAAGATCCTAACCTATTATGTCTCATCTTACGTCCAAGTACTATTTAAGACCGATGGGAGATTTTTTTTGTCCTTTTTCTCTCATTAGTCTCAAAGACAATCTTGAGACATACAAATGGTTCGTCTCACAGTGAGCCCAGTTTGAGCCCTGAGTGAGACCTCTTATGTTTCTTACAGTTGTCTCATTCAAAGATCCAAGCGCAAAAGAAAAACAGCAAGCTCTCAAATTCGTCCCAAAGTGAAGGTTCAGTTTAGAGTCCAAGTCCTTTGAATTGACTTACGGTTGTCTCATTCCTACAGTAGAGTAGACTCGGATAAGAAGAAGACAAAACAAGTACAAGACGCAACTGAAGAAGAGACAGAACCTGTGACTTCCATCACTTTGGAGTATGTTTATTAGAGATGCACTGATCCATTTTTTCTCAGTTCTAATACATATGTAGGCTACTGATAGCCAAAGTGAGACTGTGCGAGCTGAGAAAGTTAAAGTGCCCAACCATCTATATTGATCAGTGGATTGAGCCCGTCAGTCCGATATCTGAAATTACGTCAATATCGGACACGACACTGATATAAGATCGGATCGTCCCATCTCTAATGTATATGACACCATTTTTTGACAATCTGAACCGATGTGACAGAAGATTTTAATACATATCCAGCTGATGTGTCGTCTAAATGGGAACCGATCCTCTTCATATTTTTAGCCTGGTGCTGAAATATACAAGCCAGGTCTTTGACTTCAGCAACTACTCTGTATGTGAACCTCTTTTGGGCGTTTTCCCCCCTTTTTTTGTCTATAGATGGGGGACAAATATAGCTGTATGTCCATATTTTCACATGGTTTGTACATTAGGGATGTACAAGGGATTAGTTGATAGAGGTAGTTTTATTAATCACAGCTTTCAAGGACATGTGAAGGAACATGAGCTTATCATGTTTCACTTATTCCCATCACCCTTACAAAAACATCCCAAACCACTGGTGGTAAAACAAAGCACATTTTACTCTACTGTTGAAAGTATAGCGGTTGAATGGCGGTCGGAGGACAGAAAGGGAAGCTCTACTCTTTGTGCCACACTAGTTTTCTTCTACTTTGCTGTAATGTTTCTCTCTTTACCAAACCGTGTATGAAATGATAAGTGTAATTATTAATCCGACAGTCCAGGAGGTGCAGCAAGTGTTGCAGCTCCGTTGCACAGATGTGTGTCGCAGCACTCATTGGTGAAGGTGAAGTTGAGTCCCATGGCGTATTTTTCCCCCGTGACTCCACACAGCGAGGGCAGAATGCAGCTCTTCTCATACAACACCACACGGAGGTCTCCTGAAAACACAAAAAAATAAAACCACACAAACTCAGCTCCACCACCTCTCTCGGTTCCTTTTCTCAGTTTTGATTCATTCAAATTTTGCTCAGCGACTCAAGGTTCAATGTTCACCTTTCTCGCCCACAGCTCTGCTGGACAGACAGACCTGCTCGGGGGGACATTTGAGGGGGAATCGGATGCAGTCCAGAGGTGAGATGGTGGGGAACACACAGGTGTAGCAGAAGAGGGGAACTGAAGGACAGACATGTTGGTTAGACCACAAAATAGCTTAAATCGGATCTCAAACAAAAAAGGAATAATTTGTTTTCTTAAATAAATTGAGAATAAAATAACCAAGAAACTAACCTGGGGGGGACAGAGCTTTCACTATAGCTGCCCCCTCCCTCTGGAACTCACTCCCCATACATATTCAACACTGCTGACCCAGGGACGGCATCAGGACGTTTTTTTTCTCCCGGTGCTGAGGGGGAGCTTGACTAATATGTTGGGGTGCTTTAAGATTATTTGAAAAGAAAAGAAAACTACCAAAATACGTGAGGGGGCTTAACCGGGGTTAGACAGAACAAAAAGAGCTTTTAATGTATGATTGCGATGTTTGTTAGTTTGTTCTTACTGTTCTGTCTTGATCATTCTTCCTTTTTAAAAGACTTTACAGTGTCTTTGAGTTCCTGAAAAGTGCTTTATAAATACAATTTATTATTATTATTATAAAATGAAGAGGAAAAATGAAGATCCCTCCGTATGAGTTTGGAAATTAAGAATGTAAAATTCATCTGACTGCATGAAGTGGAAGTCATTTTCACTGTAAATCATACACATACCTGCACAACTGCACAGCTTTTGTACGTTTTGGTATATGATAAATGGACTTGAGCTTGTATAGTGCTTTTCTTGTCTTCTGACTACTCAAAGTGCCTTTACACTGCAGGTCACACCTACACCTACACATTCACACACTGATGGCAGAGGCTGCTGTGTAAAACGACCATCAGTATTAACTAATTCAGTCATACGCCGCTGATGATGCAGCAAGAGCCTTGATGAAACCCAATTCTGGGTTTAGTGTCTTGCCACATTGTACATGTAGTGTAACACAAGTATATTATTATAAAAAGTGTTTGAGCATTTTCAATCTATAGATGTTATATTGGTAGTAAATCAATAAATGAATAACGGAAAGCTTTGTTATCAGTTCAAGAGATATTAGTTAAAGCTGAAACAAAAAAAGATTTACAGGTAGCTATGTTGGTAGAAGATTTATTTTTTTCAACACATTTGATTGCAGCTGTGATTGCAGGTTTTGACATATTCTAACATTAATAGAGCAAAATGTTAATAATTTGATAAAAGATATGAGCCCTTCTATTGTTTAATGCTATAAAAAGTATTCACATACGCCTGTGTTTTGTCGACTCACCCACTGCTGGAAGTAAACAAAGGAGAAGCAGAGAGCAAAACAGCGTTGACGACATTACGAACTGTCCGTGTCTGTTCTCTTGTTCTTATGTCTTTCTAGAATAAAACTGCAGTCTTCATCTTAAACACAAGAAGCCTGTCTCTGTCTCTGTCTCCGACTTTATGGTTGAATATCTCCTATCAGCACGGTCCTGCCTTTTCTCTGCTTCTTCAGTAAATCTCTGTGGTTTTTCTTGAGATTCTGTTAATTCAATCCAAGAAGGTCCGCGCCCCCTTACTTATGATTCAATTAGTTTGTTAGCTTCCCAATGACAGCCATCTTTATTCAGTACTGCCCGGGCTCACTGTCCTGCAAAGAAAAGCCCCAGTCAGTTTTGAAAGAGGCTTTGTAGGTAAACTTCACTCCAGCTCCAGTTAAAACCCAAAGAAAAAAAAAAAAGACTCATCTTATGTGCACTTAAAGGATTTGAGGAATGCAGCACCAAGCTAGGACAGGGTAGGTTTATCATTATTTCCTAATGAAAGACGTTGAGTTTGTTGGGAAGGCGGTCAAGTGACCTGCAGTCCCATGACTAGAACAGGAGGAGGTCCAAACTGTGTTTTTAGACTTCATGGAAATGATTCACTGAAGTCTTTGAAGCTGCTTTGCTTTACAAAAAAAAAAAGGCAGACATCAGATTATATCCTAAAATCAACTCTAATAATTATGTTTGATCAGTCATAATGTAGTTGTCTCTGATAGAACAGATAATAGCATTAGATAGGATAACTGCATTAGCCTCCACTCTCTGTTATTTATTTACTGGCAATTAAAATGGTTATTGTTCAATGAATGGTTGTGTTATTGGAGTAAAGATAACCAAACTTAAAGGAATTAAAGGGCAATGACAAATTAATGTTGGTTAAATAGTTTATTAAGATAACATGAGTCACATATAATACAGACCACTACGAGTGATTTTTTGATACTTTGCTCTATTATTGCCTAAGCAAATCCTCCGAATCCCTCTGTGCTGTCTAGTGTGACACTTGAACAGAAGTGTGTTGCATTTAGTTTTATACACAACACAAAGCTTTTATCTTTTCATCAAGGCTTTATCTGTCATGGTCAGGGTTGCCACAGTTACTGCACAACGGAACAATAAGAGGAGTCTCTGTGTGCATCTCAGTGCAAACATGAACTTCTTAGCAATTAATAAATGGACACCGTAAAAGTGGAACTAAATGTGATGGTTGGGCACACTCAGAGAATTAAGGATGTCCAACACTGATGTGGGTTATGAAGACTAAATCACAGTCTGCTTTAACGGTTCATTTCAAAGGTTTCAGATGGGCCGCTTAAGTTTTTCCACAGCAAACTTTTTAAAGCATTTCTGTATCTGACTAAATGCAAAGGGATAGTTGAATCAGGAAAGAGCCCGAAATAGTTGTCACAAAGTTTGAAGCATTCACATTGGTTGGAACTAAAGAGCCTTGAAGTGATGCGCGTGCACAACGTTTGGACTTTGTGAACAATATTACATCAAGAGTGGTGTGAACAGGCTCCATTGTGTACATTTTCAAGGGATAAATGTTGTTCTGATGTGGCGTCGTATTATGAAAACTTGTTTGATTCTTTGAAATACAGCCACTAGAGCACGTGAGCAGGGGTGTCCATAGATTCGTCTGGCCTCATCATGCAGCTTTAATCACGTTTCATTACGCTACATCTTACACACTGCTGCTCTGTTCTTCTAACTACACACCCTAACACTGTCATCGTTCTCTACATGCATGCTCTCTGCAGCTCTAACGAACACAAGAGGAGGTAATCTGGCTTCAGCACGCCCCCTGGTGGAGAAAAGTCGGCATGGCCCGCTTGTCCACCTGCTGCTGCCTCATGCGGACGACGGCTGCGTCTACCTGAGCCGCTGCTCTCTTGCCGTGTTGGTCGTTCAGCAGCTGCAGAAAGGCGCGCTGCAGCCTCGCCTGCTCCCCCTCTGAGGAGGTGAGACATCGCCTCAGCACTGCACTGCCCTGAGAGACACACAGGAAACACTGCCTTGTTTGGTTTGTTTTGGACAGGCGACAAAAAGATGAGGTATGTGTGTTTAAATATTTAGTGTGAGCATCTGTCGGTGAATTTGAATATGAGGAGTCAGAGTATTTATGTGTTTGTGTGTGTTTATTGTCACACATGAAGAGAGAAGCTCATATGAGCAATAAGAAAGACGACTTTACCTAGATTTATTTTTCTAACTACCAGTAAGTTTAAAGAAATAGTGGAAGAATGAATGAATGGCTACACCACTCTTTTTGTGTCCCTTACAGCCCTCCTAATAAGTTGAGAGCTACAAAGATGAATTAGTTCATCTTTCAATGAAGAATAAGTACAAAGAAATTGTTAAAAAAATGTCAAATGAATAACTAAGAATCCTTTTCCTGAAAGTAGGAGGAGGAGGTAGCCACATTTCCATCACCATCATACTTGACTGTATTTGAATATATCCATGAAGACATGTTGAAATATTTCACACCTGTATGAGATTAGCGGCCTCAGGTAACTGTGTCCCCGGGTGTCTCTGATAAACCTGCACCAGAGGCCGGTTGAGTTTCTCTCTGGACAGTACGTCACCGCTGTACTCTGGACCCTGCACACACGAAAAGAAATTCAGCAGAAACATCAGTTTGTTGTCTCTGAAACTCAAGCTGGTTTCCACACACTCACCTGCAGTCTGCCGTGGCTGTGACGCATACAGTTTATTTCTCTCTGCTTACGAAACATGGCCTGCCTGGTGGCTGCAGACATCAAAGTCAGGTTTTGCTATCGAGGCAAGAATGAAGAAGAAACGTTTTATTATTTGGATGTAGGTGTGTTGTCAGAGTATGTATGTGTTACATGCAAATATGTTAAACATTGTTGTATTTGCGTCTACCTGCAAACTGATTGTCTCTGCAATTTTCTTCACCAGACCATCATTGACGGTCGAGTGTGCAGCTTTCTGCCTGTGGATGGCGCTGGTGAGCATCTGTCTGATGTTTTCTCTCAGCAGCCGTGACTGGTTGACTGTCAAAGTGGACTCCTCTAAAACCTGTTGGCATTCTGCACAGGGACAAATCAGGGACGTAAGGAATCATTTGTTTCAATAAAGCGACTTTCAGAGCAGATATTCAGATCAAAACAAATGCTCTCTTTCAAGCTCCCTCCTGTCTTCCACACTTCCCCCGCCCCTCCCGTCCTTTTTCACTAGCAGCAGACGAGTGCCAATAAACAGCTGAAAAGATTCTGCAATCAATTTCATGTAATGCTATGCATCTCAAAGTTGATTGGGTTGTTATGTTTGTCTTTTTAGGCCATGAAAAGTGTTTTCTTCGGTTTGAAAGTTTGTTGGTTTTCCTTCAGTTGCACTCTTGCTACGACACTCCAGAGGACACTCAGGAGGAGTGCAATAATGGTAATGCCTCCACACACCTCTTCCCTAAGTGGGCGGGACCAGCACTCTTCCCTCATGTGATGATAGGGCTAACAGTGGGACCAGGGGGAGCTCACTTGATAAAAACATGTATGAAACATGTCTGAGCCTCTGAGTGAAAAATGCAGTCAAAGGAAGCGCTGCCAATTCACTATCTATTTAGGAAGGCTTTACTCCACAATATATTCACATAGGGTATTATTAAAATTTGCCATATTAATATTCAGAAAGTAGCATATTATACCTGTAAAACAACCTATTTGGTTTCCAAAATCAAGAAGACACAAGGACACTGTTTTCTTTTCAACAAGTTTGGACCATCTTTGAGCCTAAGCAGTGTTTCTGTTTTTCCTTCTTATTCGCTGCTTTCCCTGCTGCAGAGATTGATTCAGTTTGTCTTTGAGCCCAGATTGTACCTGGTGTAAAGGGGCTGACAGGGTCTGTTTTGGTGAAGGTCTCTGCAGAGCTGTGGTGTCTTCCAGCAGAGCCGCTGAGAGGCAGCAGCTCCAGGACACGAGCCCTCTCACAGGCACAAACCAACAGCTGTCTGCTGCTCTGACCCAGGGCCTGAAAGGGACAGAGAGAGGGCGGTAACTAGTAAATATTTCCATTGTTGATTAATCTTCTGACTATAAAATGATACATTACTCTATTATTTGTTTTGAGAAAAAAAAGAAAAACTGTCCATTATTTCCCCTTGTGCCAAATATTATTTCTTCAAATGTCTTATCTAAAACTTATGCAAGTTTAATTTAAGAACAGGTAGAAAATGGTGATTTCTCAAACTGGACGAGCTGCAATAAAAATAATTCCTTATTTTTTCATCAGATTTTGAATCACAAATGAATACAATAGTTGCTGATTCATTTTGTCGATCCACTTTAAATGATTACCTGACAAGTCATTTCAGCTCTAGTTGAGATGCTGATGAGATGTTTGCATAATTACAAGCTAAAGTGAGACAGTGAACATGGTCAGCTTTTCACGGGCCTTAACATCAACATGATGAAAATAACCATAATGGTCATATTAGCATGCTAAAAGTTGCATTCACGTCAAAGCAGCGCACAGTCTCACAGTGCTAGTAGGAGACCTGTAGGCTCAGTTAGTTTAGTAATTTAAATAGGCTTACTTGTTTTTTTTAACAATACTTTATAACATCAGAGCAAAAACACAACAGATATGAAGCGGCGATTAGACAGCAGGGTGGAAATAATTGATGTGACAGCTCTGGCAGTGTTGATTTTCTTCTGTCACTCATGCCAGTAAATCACATAGAAGGGGGAGTGGAAACAAGAGAGAGGGGGGGGGGGGGCTCTAAAGAAAAACGAGTCAAGCGATGAAGACAGAACAGTGACTCTGTAAATCACCTGTAGCTGGGTCAGTGTGTTTCTGAGCACTCCCTCCAGATCCTGTTTCAACTGGGCCAGCTCTCGTCTCTCACACAGCAACAAGTAATCAGCACCATCTCTCTCCTGCAGCGGAGCAGAGCTGTCAGTGAATGCATCACGACTACTTGATGAATGAAGTGAACAATACAGAACTTAATGAATGAATATGGAGTCTGCTGGATCTCTTACATCACATCTGTTGCTGTCATATATAATATTTTACAGGGAAAGGAATTCAAATTAACTTTTAGAGTTAAGTGCAATAGGTTGAGGTGTTGGAGGTTTTAACAGAGGTATGGACGTTTGTTAAACATTATGCATGTTTCTGCAGGTGTTATCCCTAAACATTTTCTTTGATGGTGTGCAGAAAAACTAAAAATTGCTAAAGAATCTGTTTGATTTTTCCTTAAAAAAACCCACAACTAACATACAAGTTTTCATCAAGGACAGTGCCAATTACAGCCTCATCTGAAGACAGAAACCACTGCTGAGTCTTGTAAAAAATATATATCTTTTTGTTTTTTCTTTACTTTAAAACTGTACATTCTAAGGCAGTAAACGATTCTTTCCTCTTTTATGATGACTCTGCGTGTTACTTTTTGACAAAAAAAAACAATAAACAGTGTATGAGAAGTTATACTGAAAAGAGCTGAAGAAGAAAAGGGGGCTGAATTGTGAGGAGGAAATTATCTCTGTTTGTTAAAGGACATATATAACCTGCATCAGAGTACATGTGAGACTGTTGTGTTCCTTTGCTGCTTTGTGTTAACATAAAAGTCAAGTTGCGTAAACTGACTGTCTCCGCAGAAGACGGCCTCCTGGTCCTCCCCTCAGAGCTCCTCCTGTTGATGTTCAGATGGGTTTGGAGGCTCCGCAGCATCCTCTCCAGGTGAACTTTCTCCCTCTCCAACTTGATGCCCTCGTCCCTCACCCTGCTGGCTTGCCTTCGCAGCAGACCCTCCACTTCCCGCACCGTCCGCATGTAATCACCGGCCACCGCCATGCTGGCCCCGGCACACTGCTCACGCAAGCTGGTAGGAGGGAACGGGGCCACAAATGTCCTCTGGGAGCCACTGGGGAACTGCAGAAGAGAGTTAGCCACTTTTTTTTTTTTAAATGCCATAATAAGTGAGGGTTCTGAATGAACACTTTAACCTGTAGCCTAGTTTTTAAGCCGCTGTTTTTCAAAACATTTGTCCATTGTGTTTAGTGATAAATTGTTTACATCTGATATCTTTTGATCAGCTTTGAACACATCTTACCTCTATAGTTTATTCTGAAAAACAAGAAAGACCGACTTACTTTAAACTTTACACATTTTCTTATATAGGCCTTTTTCTTTAATTTTAGTTTAGAAGACTAACATGCAGATGTTAACCTAAAAGACAAGTATTGTTTTGCAGGCAACCGCTTGGGGCCCCAGGCCAATAGGGCCCCCCCAGAGTTTAAACCACAGCTGTGGCTCAAAATGCTCAAATTGTAAATGACAGTAGGAAACCCCCCTTAGGTGGACCAAATCTTGCAGCACTCGCTTGTTGCATGCATTATCGCTGTGAAAACCTACGTTTGTCAGTGAAAGTCCACAGAGGAAAATGAAGGGTTAATGTCAGATAATTTATGACATAATGGGGATGAATTCTGGTTGGAGGGGCCCCCCTGTGAATTCTTGCCTAGGGCCCCCAACAGACTCTAGAATCGCCACTGCCCTCCTCTAATAAAAAGGCAAAGACTGCTGGATCAAATCTAATTCTGTGTCTTTCTCACCATCGATCCAGTAGTTTGGGGTCTAGACATCTTATTTCTGCAGATGCAATCAGGACACTCTTCTTTGCTTGAAATCTTATCCTCGGCCTTTCCCGCTGTGCCGTCTGTGCGCGCTGGAGTCAAACCTGCAGAGCCGCAAGAGGTCCGAGGACGGCTGCTGGTCCCGGACCGCCCCGCTCGGGTCTGCCGCACCAGGCGCTCCGCCCGCCGGATGGATCGAGTCGTGCCATCGCGCCAAGACTGCGGTCCGATGGTAACGGAGCCGAGAGGAACTGACTGGACCTGCATTGCTTCACACAAAAAAAAAAGTTTAAATAGGCCGCTGATGTAGTCTAATAATGTTCATCCACTTGAAGCATCTGATGGTTCTGCTAACCTTGTGTGAAGTGTTGAGATATGAGCTCCATAGCAACAGTTCTTGAAGTAACAAGAAACTCAAAGCTCTTCAGTGATTGGGTGGTGAGGAGGAGACACTGACATTTAACACGACCTGCTGGTGGCCCCACTGGTTCAGGAGGTTCAATTCCCATTCATTTCCCCCCATAGATAAAGTTACATTACATACCATTGGAGCATATCTACGGACTAAGGTGTTCTCAACCTCTCCAGGTACAATCATCAGATCACAAGATTGAAAACTGCCTTAGGGAGCGTCAACGTAAAGAGCGCCGTTAACTACGAATCCCATGGTGCATTTCGGCAAGAAGTATCCAGCTAAAATATCCATTTGTTTTTGGGCTCTTTGTTGATTTCAGTTGATTCCGGAAACTTTCACGTCCTGTGTTGTTCACTTATCCGGCCACAAAGCCTTAGAATTCACTTCTACCCACTTTAATACACCTAGTTACCCTAGTTCGCTACTCTGACCGGCTTCGTTACCATAGCAACGGGGACATATGGGAATTGTAGTTTTTAACAAGTCCGCCGACAAACAGTGACTAACCATATATGCTACAGACCTTACACTGTAAAAAAAAGACGAACACTACATTTCAGAGAAACCGGTGAAATAGACAGAAGAAGAGATATTTTGGTTCAGAGTGTTTTATTCTTTTGAATTAAAATAAAGATAACATCTTCAGTATTTAGTCTAACAAGACATGTAAACATTTAAGATCAGTGAAAATAGATCCAAAATAAAAGATGAGACATAAAGCTGTTAAAAATATTATTTTGGTCCCTCGTGTTCCCCTCTTTGAATGTTAAGCTTAACCAAAAAAATGGCAGCTCTGTTTTAGGCTACATAGGAAGTAAAAAGGCACCACTGCAAAAAGCTTTACAGAATACAAAATTAAATTTAAGTTTTAACAACAAAATTAATGATCCTCAGTTTGACTAACAATCACCATTCAGAAATGTCAAAAATCCCACTGCATGAAATGCAGTCTAATCATTGCCTCACCATTAGACCCATTACATTCAAAATCAACTAGCCTAAATACAGTAATCATTTTTTTTCTAAATCAAGTATTTTACAAAAAGGTAAACCTGACATCTCCACACTGAAAACAATCAAGCTGTGTGACTCTTACTGAAACGATTCACTCCAGCATCTGTAGGAAAATAAAGCTTCCTTTTGGCCAGAACAAGGCAGGTCTGAAAATGGAACCTCAAAAAGATAAATAAAAATAAACTTAACGTACACAATGATAAATATGCAGAAAAGCCGAAAGGGTAGTGCAGAAAGTGCAAAAGTAATCCTCCATTTCTGTGCAGTTAGTTTGCATCTTGTCGGGTCAGTAGTCCTCACAGTGTGTGTTTGACGGCAGTCAGAGGTTCACGTTTGTTCTGCAGGTTCTGCTGCAGCTCTTTGAACAGGTGGTCTCGCTCCTCTGCGTCCAACAGGATTTGCTACATTAAAGAAACGGAAAAGACCCGACTTAGTATTAATGATGATGACTGCAGCATACACAAATATATGTCAGCACGGTCCATGCATCGGTTTAATCTTTTGTAACTTATAATAACTTTTGGGTTGGTTAAAAACCACATACATCACAGACTTGTTCTTTTAGTGTCACACCTGACCTTGAAGTTAGTTAATAACCTTCCCTATAAAACCATCTGTGCTACATCATCCTTTAATAATGTAATCGTTAACTTCAGTTGTTTTTGTTGTTTATGAAAGGATGTGCCTTTAGTTCTGTAAAATAAAACTGGTGATACGTTTAAACCTAACAAAGACAAAGACGGTTCACACACTGGAGGGGATCCAATATTCCAGGAATTTATTTCACCTGATGCAGTGGGAGTGCCGCCTGGATGCAGCAGATTCTTGTACTTTACCTCGATGAGTTTATTTCTCTTCTCCAGGCTGTCTTTCAGTTTCCTCTCCGCTCTCTCTCCGTCCTGCCTGAGGTTCTGCACGGCTCTATCCGCCTCCTTCCTCTCCTTCTCTTTCTGCCTCAGCTCCTGCCGAGTGCCTCTGAGTTCAGCTGTCAAGGAGGACACCGTTTGACTGTGACTCTCCTGCTGAGTCTGGGGGACAAAGTAGAAGGATTGTTGTCTTTAAGCATTGCAGGCTATTGTTTGTGTGGAAGTTCTGCCTGTGTATCTTGACCAGAAGTCCAAATACAAAAACAAATGCAGCTGAAAATTAAACAATGTTGTATGTCAATCTATATATAATCTTTATATGAGAACTTGAAGCCATTCTTACTGTTTGTCATATCTTCATTTCTCTAAAATCAAACTCAATTTTGTGATTTGATGACATGTCATTTTTCAAACCCTTCCAATCTTCTCCTCTTATGCTCTTAGCTCACCTGCACCATGTCCTGGTACTCCTGCAGGGCTGTGGTGAGTTTGGTGACCTCGTTGCACAAGGTAGCGCTGTTTCCCTCTCTCTCCTCCAACCAGGCTGCCAGCTGAGCCCCGCCCCCGGCCAAATCCTGACCAATCACAGAGCCCGAGAGAGCCTGGAGAAGAATGACATGTGAGTAGAAGTTTCCCGAGTCACTGAAATCAGAAACTGTTCTTGTGATGGTGGAAGAAATAAATAAACACACATCATTCTCTAATGAATCCTCTTGCTAGAAAAGGGAGCAGATCATGTACAGAAACATTTTAACAGTATGTGGAAAGGCAGCCGCCATTCCTGCTGGATATTACACCTTTATGTATATATAAATTACCTGTGCATCTTTCTGACACTTCTCCCGCTCCTCTTTGAGGTAATGAATCAGAGCCTCCTTCTCCTGCAGGACAGTAGCGAGGGCCCGGTCCTTCTGTTTCCACACCTCCCTCTCCTTCTCCACCTCCTTCAGCAGGTGCTCCTTCTCCCCCAGAGCCACTCGCAGCTCCTGGAGCAAAGTATAGATTTTCCAAATTTGTATTTATTCAGAAACTTTATTGTAAATGATTACCTTGTTTATTCTTGTTTCAGTCTTCAGAATGTTATCGATTGAGTCAATTTCTGTTTTTGCGACTGTGTCTGTTCTTTAGTGAAGCACTTTCGGCTTCATGCTTGTATGAAAGGAGCTATAAAAATAAGGCATGGGACAATGCAAAGATAACCTAACATCTGTGTGCGTGTTTATCTACAGTGTATTCCACCCAGTGTTTCAGATGTGAGTGTTCTCACATTGATAATATCCTGGTTGCACTGCAGGACAGTGTTCAGTGTGTCCAGATCTCTTTCTCGGTCTCTTCCAGCCTTCCTCAGGGCCTCGATCTCTTTCTCCATACTCTTCTCTCTCTCAGTTAATTCAGACCTCAAAGTCTCCAGGGAGGCCTACAAATCACAAAACATGTCATCAGTACATTTTTGAGACATCCAGCTCATGTAAGACAAACACTGATACAAAACCGACATAGTTGAAATATCAGAAAATTTGCAGAAAAAACAAACATTCTGCAGTTTCATCCTTTGCAATGTAAATATTTACTACTTTTATCTCTTTATTTAGTTTGTAAAATGTGTATATTTCTTGTTTTTGGACTGTATTTCAAACAAAATAAGGCAACTGTGTACCTAGCTTATGGCTGAGGTACACTCAAAACGGGAATTGATGATAGTTTCTGAAGAAAAGATTTTATTTCAGGTGCATCCAAGCGGTAGAATACAGTCTGTAAAGTAAGTTTAAGAGTCCTGAAGTTAGTTCATTTCCACAATCTGGTCTCAATCATAAAGTGTAAATAATAATGGACGAAGCCTGAGTTACGTCAGCCATCTGTTACTGCGGGGAACCTGGAGGCTCATCGGCAGCAGCCGCCATGCTGGAAATCCTGTCTCAGTCTAACTTTCAGTCAACCTAACGACAGGCTGAGAGCTGGAGCTGAGGTGGGTTTAAAGCCTCTTGACGAACCGTTACATCACGCCCACCTGTTAATCATGTCAGCTACACCCCTAACTATGGATAACACATCTGTTCATAAAATCAAAATGGAGTGGTTTAAAAAAAGAAAAATCACCCCCTAAGCAGCGTGTGCCAACGAGGACACTAACTATTCAGACCGATTTAGTTTTTCTTTTACTAGGCTGTAAACATGTTTATTTCCACAATTTCCCAGTTTGGGATCAATAAAGTAATTCTATTCTATTCTATTTCCGCTGTGAAAGCTGGCTGTGTTTTGTATTTGACTTCCAGCCTCTCCTGGAGCGAGCCTCAAGCGGACACTCGACAAACTGCAGGATTGCACACTTCAACATTGGCTTCATTCTTTCAAGACCGGAGTTGCCGCTTGGTCTCAATTTCTTCTCTTGATTAAATGGAGCAGCAATAGATCAAATCGTAGATACACATATTTACACGTGAATTGCCTCTGCTCTGAGCCATTACTGTTAAAAAGCATTAGTATCTTAAACTTAAGGACAGAAAGAAAACAGTTTTTTAATTTAAGGAATAATGTTCCGACGGAGCCAGAGGACATCGCTGACAAGCTTCTGCCAGAGTGGTAAATGCTTCCTGCAGGCCGAGTTAGAAAGAAAATCCCCCGTCACAATACCCGTGAAGTTTTTCCCTCATGGCTTCGGTGTGTGGTTAGGTAGTATGTGTTATCATAAGCACACCCAGCATTTAGCACTCATATCAGTAATCAGTACAGTGTCAGCTCTAACCTTGTTGTCAGACAGAGCTTCCTTCAGATTCTCACTCAGTTTCTCAGTCAGCTTGTTGGCCAGCTCTGCCCCGGTTCCCTCCTCCACACACAGTCGTCTGATCAGACCCATACACTCCTGGAAGAGAGGGCAAATATATCTATCTGCTTATACACACAGCACTTTAAGGCAAAGATTTTAACTATAGCATATCTGATTTGGACATCTTGAAGGCTTGGGTACGTGCAGGGTTTTGTAAAATCAAAGACATTTTCTAAACTTAATCAATGCTCGAGGCAAGTGAAGTTATAATGCAAGCCAAGCTGATATTACTGCAGATGAGGACAGGACCATCATAAATCTACAGTGCCATCAAACATGCTGCTGCATTTACAACTCATCTACCTCACCCTGAAACTGAAATCTGTTACAACCTGCAGGTATCTGCTTTAAAAACTAGAACTGAACTCCAGAAAGTGTTGATACATTTGTTTCAAATACAGATAGTATTTTAAAGAAATACTTTTGGGGAAATAGTTTATTCAGGTTGTTGGCAAAACATACACAACAACCTAGATTCCACTTTTATATCTGAAGCATGAATATGAGACTTTAGCAGCTGGTTAGCTCAGCAAAAAAAACTAGGAGAAACAGCTTGTTGATACAAAGCTAACAAAGTTAAGCTTTGCTTTTGAGCTTTTTTTTTTTTAAAGTAAATAAACAAACGATTTCTCAACTTTATCCAGAGTTAAAGCAAAACTAAAAAGGTAATGGCTGTGACTTCTTGTTTAACAGACAAATAAACGTTTTGTCAGTCTAACTAAATACTTAAAAGGGAATTTCTTAGAGTGACGCAAGATAAATACACTAACAGAAAACATTTCTTTAACATAGGCCGATATAAAAATGCAGCAGGACCTTTGTTTAACAGTGTCTTATTGGTTATATTCAATAGGCCCAAGAGTTCTATTACATTTCCTGCTGTAAATCCTCAACATACTGCAGAGTCCCACAAGAGATAAACAGACTAAGTAAATGCAGCTTTGGCACTGCCACTTTAAGGGCCAACGGCGACTCCAAAGACAAACAACATTCCAGTGAGCTTTGATCCTCAGCAGCACAACATCCAAACCTCTGTGTGCATGACTGAGTCCTGTCAGCCCTCATCACCTCACCCACCTGGATCAGACGCTCCCGGCTGCGCAGGGAGTGACCGAGGCTCTGCAGCAGGGAACTGCCACCTTTCTCCTGGACCAACTGGACGAGAAAATTAAACACATGACTGTGGTCAGTGGCGGTTTAAATCATTGGGAAACCCCAGGCAAAGACAAACATGAGGCCCTTTCCCCATTTAGATAAAAGCAAACATATCTTGTGAACACCTTTTTTTTTTTTTTAAAGAATCTTTTATAATCTAACAAAGACAAAGAACTACAGGACGGGCCCAAAAGTGAATAACAAATAAACACGCCTTGGGTGCGTAGTGAGTGAGTGGTTAAGCAAGAGAGAAAGAGTGGCAAAGTGACGCTTCAGCGAGCAGAGCAGAGGGAAAGGGGCGCAAAAGTTGACAATCTGGCAGTGGTAACATTATTCATTATATCTGAGGCTAGATCAAAATGTTTGGGGCAACAGCTGCCCCAGGAGCATTATGTTTAAGGCAACAACATATATCACCTGTACCTCATGCTCCTTAGTGGACAAGGCCATAGGTGATTGCCTATTTTTGCTAAATGGTAAAAACCGTCTATGGCCATGGTTTCATTTAAAACTCAGAACAATAAACACATTTTGAATGTTAATGATGATTTTTAAGTAGAGTTGAGTAAAATATACAACTGCTGCTGCTTTTGAGCTAACCGCTCCCCCTAGTTTCCAGTGTTTATGCTAAGCTAAGCTATCAAGCTACTGGCTAATGATTCCCTTTTCGTTACTGACTAATCTTAAGATTACTTTGTGGACACATTGGACTATTAAACACTTTCAAACAAACTAGAATATCTTCTTACAGTTATCAAATGTGTTGTTTTGTACAGAACACAAGAATACATTTGAAAAATAAAACTGCAGATTCTCCTGAGTTGTCGTATATTAATAATATTCAACTCTATAAGAATGTGCTGCGTTCACATGTCAAGCAGAGATCAGTTCTTGAGCACAGTGTCTACAAAGCAGCTCAGAGGCCTTTTTTAATGATATCCTCTACCATAAGTCTGCTGAGCCCGGGGCAAACTCCACTGGTCGGGGAAGATTCCAGAGAAAGGCAGAGTGTGTGTTTTTTTCTCTGCCATTATCTTCATCTGTACGAGGAAATGGGGACACACCTTTCCACACACACACACAGACGCCCTCCATTCCTTTCATAATGCTATATTTGTCCTTAGTCAACATTAACAGAGGTTTATGAAGCTGTTTGTACATGTGACTGTGGAGCTGCAGTGTTGCGCTTTATAATGAACCGGTTTTTCAAGAGTCACAAAAATGCTTCTGGGCAATCATCTTTGATCAAAGCAGGTACAAATAACAACGATGTGGGCACATCACAATGTCACTCATTCTTTATCAATCTCCACCTACATTTATTTATTTTTAAAGTAATGGAGTCAATAACATTCTTTGTTAAACCATTTAGTGTTGTGTTAATCTCATCTTACTTTTCACTTCCTCGTCACGTTTATGTCAGTTCCCATTTTATGAACTGATTATAAATGAGACAATTGTGAATACAAAATAAGCTGATTTCTTTCCAAGTAAGTTAAAATAAAATAAAAAGCACAACTATATATTTTCATTAAATATAAAGCCACAGCTAGAAGCTACTTCGATAGCAGAAAGGGGAGCAGCTAGCCAGTCTAAAATATAAAAAAGAAATCTTCTGATCATCCTGTCTTCGAATCCAAAAACAACAAACACAACGCTAAAAAGACAATTTGTGGTTTACAATGGGAGAAAAGATGCTTTGTCTTTCTTGTCCTCTATTAACAGTTTGAACATGATAAAGTAAAGGTAGACCATGCTAAAGCCCTTCAGTCTACAGCCGGCTTTCTTTCAGTTTTGAAACAGGTTCATGTGTGGTTTTCAAGCGTATCTTAACAAAAACGTGAAAACTCATTTGTGAGCGTTTGAAACAGATTTTGCTACCTTCATATAGTCAGGCTAGCTGTTTCCCCCTGCTTCTAGTCTTTGTGCTAAGCTAAGCTAACTGGTTTGCAAGATAGCCAAAAATCATACTTCCCAACAAGTCGAGTATTACTACTCTAAGTTTGATTTGCTCAAATTAGGATGCAGCAGTAGAAACTCATAAGCCTTGGTGCTGTTCAAATTGTGCCTACTCGGGGTATCAATAAAGTTACTTGTGAGTGCGTCAGTATTAGAGGGAAATTTAAAAGAAATGTCAGAGGAGATACCCAAAAGGTGAAGTGTTTGCACTGTGAGCACGTATTATTTTGACCACTCATGTCATAATTAATGAGACTACTCTGTGGCTTTTTAGCCCAGTCGAATTGGTGTGTGGGTATCTCGTCTGCCATTTTAGCAGAACAAAACAAAACACTCACCGGGGCCCAATCTTCTGATCCATTGACTTCAGCTGGTTTGCTTCTCCCACGTTTCAGTTCGGCCTCCAGGGTCCTGATGCGGGAAACAGCTTGGTCCAGCTGGCCTCGCAGGTGCTTGCCGGCATGTTGAACCCTTCCAGAAGTGCTCTAAAATAAAATAAAATGCTGATGTGATAAACATGGGTAATGGCATTATGGTAAAACCTTAAGTGAAATGTTTATTTCTAATCTTTTGGCTGCTGGACTGGCCTCAGGTGCTCCCGGATTTACTACTGCAGCAAACTGTGTCAATATTTACAGACACTAGTACACACTACATCGGGTCAGACTTCTATCAGTCTTATATGTTCATACAGTGAACTTAAAGTGATCTTTGGTGTTCTCAGACAGGAAAACTCACCTCTCGATGAAGAGGCATGAACTCATCTCTCAGCTCTGTCAAAACGTCCCCGTCTTCACCGCCCATTTCCTCCCCTCCGTTCTCCACCTCCCCAAAGCTCAGCACCCTGTTCACTCTGGGTGACACCGTCTCTCCAACTTTTCCTGAGTACTTCCCGTCTTTCCTCCCCAGAATTGGAATCCTACTCCCTGAAGGCGAGCTGATTGGCTTCCCTTCAATGCTTCGGAGCTCATTTAGCACAAATGAACACCTGGTGAGTCAAACGGGTCGTTTCCATCGAGAGAGTCCAGAGACTGGATGGACCCGGCGTGAAGAGGCTTGTAAAGATAGAGTTGAATCTCCCAGTGAGGATGAACAGGAGCGAATGGATGGCACCCTGTTCCAGTGAACGGGCATACTTCGGGATTTGTCCCGTGACAATGGCAATGGGGAGAAGGGTTGAAAAGGCAAATGGCGAGGAACCCCACAAGCAGACTCATAATCCGAGTCAGACACCCGCAAAGAATCACAGCCTTCACAGCATTTGCCCTTCCTGCATCTTTTACCAGTTTTTATAAAATACGGACACGTGTCCCACTTCTCGGACCAGCACTCGTACTCTGAGAGCGCCATGTTCTCTCTGAGCATCTCCCTGTAGCCCTCCTTCTCCCCCTCTCCATCCTCTTCGCTGGTGCTTCCCCTGCTGTTGAAGTCCCCTGGGTGTTTTTGGCGGTAGCTTTGGCGCACCCACTGTCTGATCTTGTCCCTCTCCTGGGTCAGCTTCTGAAGCCTCTCAGATGAAAGCACCCGCACCCTGGCAATCACTGAGTCGAACTTGAAGACCCGCTCAAGGACGCTTACACATTTACCACACACAAACTCCCCCTGCCCGCTCCCCCTCGGTACAGGCTGCCCCAGTATGTGAGTCAACACAGAGAGCAAATCCATTGCTTTGGACAGGGAGCTCAGGGATAACTGGGACATGGAGAGAGACCTTGAAGAACTCAGTGATAAAGTGCTGCCTGTAAAGAAAGAAAAAAAAAAGTTTACTTCAGGAAAATCACATGTAAAAATAGTTTTCTTTAACACACACTCTGCTCCAGACTCACCCCAGGGGCTGCTCTGTGAGGAGCGGGACGGGCTTCCTCCTCTCAGGGACTCTGTCGGGGTCTGAGGCTGGCCGTTCTTCTTTTTGTGGCCCCCAAACAGCCACCGCCTTTGGTTGCCCTGGAGACCTCTCCCACATATTAGACACAAGTCATTTTTACCTCTGGAAGACATCTTGGACAGAGGGCTGGTTCTATCCCCCTTTGGTGTCCAATAAATGCTGGAATGGTTCTGTGAATTAAATCAGAAAAAAAATTGGCTCGTATTAAACGTAGTTCACAATTAGTGAGTGAAGAACCCAAACAGGTTATGAATCAAGTCTACTCAGAAATGTTGCGTGTGTTTCAGGAGTGAATCTTTTCCAACCTTTGCTCTTAAAACAATTCTAGGATTGGCAGTGTTTTTTGTTTATTTGTTATGTGGTGGACGAATCAAATACTCAATGGTGTTACAGAAAATACTGTAGGCCTTCGGCAAAGCTGATGAGGACTTACATAACGTTAGCTAACTGGTGGGTAAGCTAGTCATAGTGGCTATTAAACTGTTAATCACTTACTAGCTTATTAAAAATACCCTCAATATAAAGATCTATAGCAGGGGTGGGCAACTGGCGGCCCCCCATCAACCCTCAACGTGGCCCTCAGGATAATATTTTACATATCGATTAATTGGAAACATGAAGAAAACATGATGAAATCTGCCATGAAATCATGAAAACCAGAAATATGTCCATAATAATATTACATCACTGGTATATGTTAGAGTTAATTTGAGACATAATTGACTGTAATCGTTTAATTTGGCCCCCTGGCAGTCAGAATTAAATGAATGTGGCCCCTTGCTGTCACCAAAGTTGCCCCATCCCTGATCTATAGATTAACTCAAATGATATTAGCTAAATAGTGGGTAAGCAAAACATATTTCCAATAAAACCAACAACAAATACTGCCCCTGAAGAAAACAATGACATGATGTTAGCCAGCGACTGAGTTAGCTAATAAAACCTTTTTTTCAGAAATGTGGACAAAAAGCTGTTTAAAGTTAAAGCTAACAAAGTATATTCATGATTGCTAGCCATCTGGTGGGTTAGCAAAAGATAAGCTATCGCCTTTCACAAACATTCGATGGACAAAAAGAAACATGACAAAATGCTGGCGCTAACACAGACACACGCCTAACGTTTATGAGGTTATTAGCTGCTGGACGAGTAAAACTGTTGTTGGATTGTCCATTGGCAGATAACCAGATAGCTTCAGCTTAAACACACAAGCTCCAAACATCGCAAAGAAGTATTCACAACGCTCGTTTTACTATGGCTAACATTACAACAGCGGTAGATTCTGGTATGATGGACTGTGTGGCCATGGGCGACTTTAGTGAGGTCTACACAAAGCACAGACAGCTAGCCGGGCCATGAGTAGATATTTAACGCATTTTCTCCAAGAATTGTGTGGCTGGATTCAAACACCGCACATTTAATATTTCTACAAAGAACCTTTTCACTCCTTTTGTTGAAAACAGACCAGGCAATTACTATAAATGGTAAATGGATTTGAGCTCATATAGTGTTTTTATAGTCTTCAGACTACTCAAAGTGCTTTTACACTGCAGGTCACACCCACCCATTCACACACTGATGGTAGTGATCACTGTGTAGTATCATCAGAAGTAACTAATCCCATTCATACACCACCACTGAAGCAGTGGGAGCAACTCAAGGTTAAGTGTCTTGTTGTTGCCCAGCTGGGGATTGAACCCTCGACCATCAGGTTGAGAGGTAATGACTCTACCAACTGAGCCACAGCCGCCCTTTGTGATGCTTTAAGGTCGAGGTCCACTGTTTCACATCCTTTTTTGTTTGTTTGTTATTGTTCATTATATGGAAGACGCTAGAAAAGGTTTTTTTTGTTACGGTCAGCGTGATCATTGTCAGCTTGTTTCAGGAAAAAGCTTGATTTTCCAGCTTTTCCCTCACAGTCCACAGGATGAGCTGTCTCTCGAACCTGTTTGACATCTTTAGTGTCTCTCTGATGCTTTGGGTTATGATTTTATTTTATCTCTCCCTTGCATGGCTGTGTTGGCCGGTTTGTTGAAGCTCATACAGCTGCTGTGTGTTTACAGTAGCTCCCCACAGGGCGGGACACGTCGACCTTGAGCCACGCTGTCAGTGAACTCAGTCAGACTGTGGATGAATGAAACTTTCTGTCAGACAGTCCCTCCGTATGGACCTTTAGCACCTCCCAGAACATCACAACATCACAGCTTCCAGTCATTTCAACTCATTTTAAACACAACACCCTTTTTATTATCATGATGAGCACATGAATAGTGTGTTTACACATAAAACTGATAAATAGGCTGCATTCAAGACCAGCTGAGTTACTTTTCCAGGACAGCTGTCGATGTTTCCAGTGGGAAACGCTTACTCACCGTGGAAGTCTGACACAGTGGGACTATTTTAAGAGACAGACGTGCAGCGATTCAACGTGAACGCAACGTCAGCGTGTGAAAGTGGAGCGCTGTTAAACTTCCTCCCTCCGTCCTATATTGTTTAGTTGTTCCAGGTTCACAAACATTGTCTTTCACACGAAGTGTTTAAAATCGATGACTTACGTGTAAAGATCCTCTCTGGCTTCACGCGCTTAACGTGATAAAAGTTGTCGATCGTCGCGCGAGGAATACATCTGCATTGTTGTCTCGTGTCGATTGGGTGAAGTCACACACACACACACACACACACATTCAAAACTAGGGGTAAGGTGACAAGTTCCTTTCCGAAAAATCTCCACCGGGAACTGAGCGGGAGTCGCGTTGCAGCAACCAACACACCGGAGCAGACAGCGGAAGAGAGGTGGGTGTCACCTTGCTGACGTCACGAGGCATACCTGTTAGGGGCCCCGCTTGAGGTCCTCACACGCTTAGCCAGTTCGTGATTTTTAACACTAAAGATTCAGATTTGAAGCGGATCCTCAGAGGTAGAAAGGAACTATCTTTGGTTTTTTTGGGTTTTTTTATATCGTCAAATGTTTTGGTCAGATGTCCACAGCTGGTTGTCTTTAAAGATTCACAACATACCTTCATTTTCACATATTGATAGCCTACAGAAAGGCCATATAGATTGTTAACACCTCAGATAGGCTATTGTTAACGTTTTGATTATTTTGGTGTATCATATTTACACTTTTTAAATGGAAAAGCATCAACCCCCTTTTTTTTTACTTTGTTTTTGTGTTATTTTGACAGATAATATAAATCATTATAATATATGAAAAAAAGAAGAATAGAATGGCCAACAAATTTTTATCTTTGTAGGACTAAATCCTTGCTCTTTCAATGTGTCTTACTTTGCCCTTTTCTGTATTTTGTTGTTCACCTGACTTAACACATTACAGTACAGAATGTTTCAATCAAAATTGTCTTTTTCTTATTAGAATTTGTTTCTTCCTCGCACCGTTGCACTCTTAATCATCCCATTTTAAATATCTGTAATGCTTTTTTCTGTCTTGTTTTGTATGTTACCTTGCATTAAATAATGGAGGAAAAAACTCTGGCTGGTCGGCAGACGTCACCCCTCACTTCACAGTTTATTTATTGACAGCCTCTTGGTTTAAAACAATTATTAACTTTTACATTTATTGTACAAGTTGGACCTTCAGGTGATAAGTCATATTTATACAATTCTACAACATATAAGGAACTTTCTTCAAATTTTCCAAAGTTATGAGTAAAATACTCATCATGGAAGAGGCTGTATGCATACAAATTACACTGAGCTAACTTTATTACATTTAAAAAGAGGAAACATCTTCCATGTCTCTCACATATCCAAATGAATTATGTGTATTTGAGAGAAGTTTCAAATGTATCAGAACCGAGAGAAAATATTTATCATCATCATCATCATCATCATCGTGGTCTTTATTGACAGACTCAGGACTCCATTAGAAAACAACTAAAAACAAAAAAATGTAAAAAAAAGACAAACAAACAGATAAAACACCCCCAGTATTATAAGAGACAGCTGTACCAGTGTCTCCACAGGGATGACACAGGAGTATCGCTCAGATCTGTGACTTGGATTTGTCCGCAGCATAATAATGGAGTGTCCGAGAATCCTTCAATCTGCAGATGCTTTTGTTCATTGTGTTTCTCATTTTGAAGAAAATGCATCCTTTTAAATGACCCTGAGTATAACGCACAAGAAGGATCTGACACCCTCACATGTCCAGCCAATGTAAAGAAGTCGTCCCCTATCACAAAAGAGTGTGTCCTTTATTATAAATCATGGTTTGATGTAAGGCTATATTTTCCCACGTTAAAAATATGCTGAGAATTTGTTCTAGAAATTGATCAACCAGAACTGATTTAGAAACAGTTAAAACGTACTGGCTGCACATTTTAAAGCAGGATTCTGGTTGGATAAAAACAGTCTTTTTCTTTTGTCCTCATAATCCATAAAGTTACTCCTATATATAAGTTAATTAATGAAAATCAATATGTTGAATTGATTGTTCACTCCCACTATACTGGTTTGAGTTAATCATGTGTAAAGGGCAGAAATGTCAACATGTTAGCTTTTCTGTCGAGGGCTGAAATAAAACCATCTTCTCTGAATATCAAGAAAAGTTACAAACACGTGTAAAGTGTTTACATTTAAAGAGGCAATAGATACATCCAAATATAAATGAGACAGAACATCTCTAAATTGTTTGTCATTGAATTGAAAAATTGCCATTTTTATGTTTTTATTCCTCCCTCAGCTTTCAGTGATCCAAAACTCTTGCCACTGTGATCATGTCCTTTGTGGTACTTTGTTTTTTGACTTTAATCACTGGTGCTTTTTTCTTTTATGTTATAATGTTAAAATACCTAAATGGATGGATAGCAAACAACACATTGCAGTCAAATAAAAAGTGCAAACCACAGTGTTTAAGTAAACCTTTAAAGAAATAAAGAGTTTAATCTTTGATCTTTGATGGACTGTAAGATATCAGGTGGACTGAACTGAACAGGACTGGGGTACAATGTGAGGATTTCTCTCTGTTTTTAACCAATGAGCGTGATTGTGACATCCCAACACCAAAAATCACAGCATTCTTTTTTTTTTAATCAATATCATTTCTGAGGATCTAGTAAATAAAGCAAACAAGAAGACTTTATTTAAAACATTTAAAAGTTGTTTCAAATATAAACTCTGAACACGAAGACTTCTCAAAGTTTTATATAAAAACAAATACATTCACATTACAGCCACAGCCACATACATTTTCTTGCACCAAAAAGCATTTAAAAAAATCAAATTACAAAAGCAGTATGTTAAAAATAAGAGATATTTACTTTTAAAAAATTGCTAACTGAACTCCATCAAGGAAGATAAATAAGGCTCCTGTATCCGTCTGTGTCTTCATGGAGGAAAGAAGTATGGAAAGGAAACATCGATAAGTGCTGCTATTGTTTGCAATTACTTTTTTTAAAACTAATTTATACTAATAATAGTTGTTAAATGTGTGTACAGAATATGGTGCCAAACATGATGTGCAATATAATTCAAATAAGAGCAGTGTGATGATATGAGGGGCAAAGGGAGATAAGGACCTCCACTTTCCACAGTTTTATCTTTCTGGGGAAGAACTTTGTGTTTGTTATAAAGCCAAATACCTCGGACACTTTATAACAGATCAGATGTCTGATGATGACGACATTTTTAGACAGTGTCGTACATTATATGCCTAAGCCAATATGTTGGCAAGAAATTTTGTGTTCTGATCATGTAAAGATATGTCTCTTCAGAGCATATTGCACTCCTCTGTATACTGCCCCCTTATGGAGTAAGTTAAAAAAAATCAAGTATGCACAGACTTCAGGTTGCTTACAATGATTGTTTTAGGATCTTACTTAAAAAGCCAAGGTGGGGTAGTGCAAGTGAGCTATTTTTGAATGCAGGAGTTAACACCTTACAAGCTTTATTGAGGAACCTTATGTAAAGATTTATCGGTCGCTTGAATGACTCAAAGAATGTAATTATAATGCTGCTGTCGAACCCAAGTTATAGTGCAGTACGCTACCAGTCATACCTTTGGAGACATTGGTATAAGTGCCTTTTATAAGAGGCGGGAATGTTTTTTATTCTAAATGTATATGTGTGTTGTCTATTCTTTGTATTGTATGTCTTTTAAAATGGACCTTGAGTCTAATAATAAAAGTTGATGATGATGATGATGATGATGAATAAAAAACATTAGTGGCTCTTTAATGGTGAAGACTCACAGCACCTGCTCATCAGCAAACACAGGGCAGATAAATCTTAATATTACCTGATATTTTTTATGACACTGTGTCAACCCGCACTTCGTTCTTTAATCTATAATCCCGGAGGTCAGGGGCGGAGAAAACAGGGAGATGTTTATTAAAGACTCAACTCACTGCACCATCCCTGCGGGTCCATTCTATACACGAGCCATTTTCTTTTCAGCATGGGGCGACTTTACTGCTTGGAAAAGAGAAGTTGAACTGAATGAAACCAGATGAGAAACTGACCCTTCCCGTCAGTTGACATGTTCCTCATTCCTCACTAGTTTTTGGACTTCTTCAATACAGCATGATGTTCGTTTGTAAATTCTGATCCCCTTGAGAAACAATTGAAATTTGAGAATAAAGTAGGACATGCTACTTCAGGACATGGCTACATGTGACTGACCAGTGGCTACCACTTTGACAACTAACAACCGGCGTATGGATGTAACAATGTGTATCTACCATGTCATCCAAAAATGTTCATTTAAGACTCCAAAAAGCCTGCATGATGGCAGCCATAATGTTGAACCTAAAGCTTAGAAATGTCCGTCCACAAATCAGTGGCTGACATCACAGTTACTACGTCCACTTCCTCCTCTTAGGCCTCGCCGTTAAGATCACAACATTATTGAAATCATCCACTTGGGAGTGTAAATCTCTGTCCCTAGCAATCTATTCAATAACTTTACTTGATGCATCATTTCTCTCTAGGTCATGATTGTTTACCTCATGGTGGGACGGTATGAAAAGTGATGACCTGTGGGCCATTCTCCAAGTGATCACAAATGTTTGGGCACAATTTTTGTGGGTCAACAATTGCTTTTTGTCTTCTCTTTCTAAAATATAAATCATCTGTACATCTTTGCAACATGCATGAAAGTAACAGGATTCCATCATAAAGTCTTGATCAGTTGGATTAGTACCTTTTTTTGACATCTCTAAGCGGGTTGTTTTCATGTGAGCCATTTCTCCATGCAGCTCTGAAACACTGTGAAGTTTGAGTGCCATTTAACGTGCTTCACTCCAGAGTGAACGCACTGCGACACGTCTCCACGAGCGTCCAGCATCTTCAGCCCAAACGTGTCGTTCTTGTAGAACTTAGAGAGGGAGAGAAGAAGAGAAGAGTGGGTTATTCAGTTCAACAGCTGATTTTTAAAACAGGGAGAGAAAGAGAGAGAAAGAGGTCTACTATGTTCAACTGGATGTCAGGTGAATTCAAACTGACTGCATGTAAGGTATGAAAGAGAAGCAGTGATGCACCGGTTTGAAACTCACCTCCTGGTTTCTCATTTCCAAAATGTTTTCGTTGCTGTCAAAGAATCCAAAGTGGCTGTGCAGGAAAGAGGAAACAGTCAATGCTGGTAAAGCGATCTTGAAACCTGTTTCGACTAGAACCTTTTACCGTCAACGCACATTTAGATGAATCTATTAGCGACCACTTGACTGTCTTGCACAAGTACAATAAGCAAGTAATTTGAATGACATTTGGGAAACTTTTTAATTTGATTTTTTTTGTTGCTTAAATGTATCTTTCTGACTGTCAAGCTGCCAAAAT